AAAACTAAGGACCACTTTTGATATGAAAGAAATGTCAAAAAAAATGCAAAGCAAAAGGGAGCTCTTGTGATAATTTGCCAGTGATTTCTACAAGTTCTTGTAGAATGTTTATTTTGCTATGATTTGTTGCCAGTTTCAGAAAAGGTCTTGTTTATTGTCTAGTACTGATCTTGAATGTGTTATGTTGATTTGTTATGGGTGTCATGTGTACAGAATTTAGCTGCATTGAAGTACAACTTCAGATGTTTTATACATTGTCATATTGCTAAGTTCTGGAAGCTCTTAAAAGATCTTTGTGGGAACAATTATCACTATCTGGGGAATTACATAAGTGATAGCAATATTCTTGAAAGTGAGATTTGAACTTCATATTATATTCACATCTGAAAGATTGATTCAGATGCATTTTTTTAAACATATACAGGTAGGTTCCATAAAAAAAATAGGTGCAAACTGGAGGTATAATTCCAACAAGTGGTGAAAACAGTACCAGCAGTGAAGGTCTTGATTGGTATAGCATTTCACTCACAAGTGGGCTTTTTCAGGTAGAGTTCATCATATACTTGAAAATGCCCGCTAGTGGGTGAAATGTACCAGTGAAGGACTTCACTGCTACTAGTGTCTTCTCACCCCACCCCCCACACACAAAAAAAAAATCAAGGAACCTGTTAATTACATTGATAATTTTTCATCCCTTGGTTTCTTATTGTAGATATTAGTTCATTTTTTAAATCTACTTTAGAGAGACCAGTTTTAAGATGAGCTCTGGAGATTTAATTTTGTGTGTTGCAGTTAAATGTGTTGAATTGTGGATTCACTTCTTAAGGCACTAAAGTTATGACACTTTGCCTGTGTCAAGATAAGCAGGCTGAATAATTTTGCTGTCTTCTGTCATATCTTCATGTGAGCATTTGCAGGTGCATATAAAAAATTGTTAATGAGTAACTAAGTGCCTGGTATAAATTTTGAATAATTAGCCCACTTTTAATGCACCATGATCGAGAGAGAACACACTTGTGTTTACAGAGCGAAGACTCAAGTGTAATCCTGAATGCTGAAGTTGATTGATGGTGATTTTGGTGTCTGTGCTGCAGTCTTTCCATTTATTCATGATTTAGCTTTCTGCATTGGTAAAACTTCCTCGACAAATGAGTACTAATTGCAGATTTGTAAATTTTATTGTGGTGCTTTAATAATGAGTCAGATAATATTGTAATTTTCAGACATATTTATACTAAGCTTAATAACATTGTCCATATATTTTCGTTTCATCAGAAATGTTTTTCTTTAACAAATTATTCAGTAAGGTAGCCAGTAAATATTTTTTTTCTATAAAATGCTAAAATAGAAATTAATATCCAGCCAATGAAAAATGCAAGAACATCATCTGTTGTCTCAAAGATAGCTACACAGATGTCTTTAAAAGACTAGAGCTCAGAAGTGTTGAGGAAAGAATAGAGATCCCCTTTGTATTAGTAGGTTCAGTAGTCATTGTCATCATCCACCCTGCCCAGTCGCAGATCAAGCTTCATAAATTGGAAAGGAATTATTACAGAGTTAATAACTATTAACCCTTTGACTGTTTACGCCGTATAAATACGTCTTACGCGCCACTGTTTCTGACGTATATATACTCAATAATTCTACCAGCTTCAAATCAAGTGGGAGAAAGCTGGTCGGCCCACATGTGAGAGAATGGGTCTGTGTGGTCAATGTGCACCACATAAAAAAAATCCTGCAGCACACAGTGTGTAATGAGAAAAAAAAACTGATCGTTTTTTTGGATTAAAACGCAGACTTTGAGGTGTATTTTCGTATAGTATTTATCGTTGTATTCGTGTTTTCATGGTCTTAGGTGATAAAATGGAAAACATATTACAGAAATAGAGATGATTTTCATTACTTTGACGATGAAAACGACCTTGAAAATGAGCTCAGAGTAGTGGAAATGTTCGATTTTTACCAATGTTCAGGAGTAAACAAATCACACCACACGTCCAATACACGTCAACTGGGGGGTATAATATTCTTTCACTAGTGCACTGATATTATTTATATCATTTTTACAATAATGCAGTAGTCTGCAGAACAGTAAATTTTGTATTTTTTTATATGAATAAAAAATCAAAATAGAAAGCAATAATAATATAAGAGGGGCCTAGAGATGTGACTAGTGAACAGAGGATATGTTATTTTAGTGCCAAGAATGTCTACCTTGTTTATTCTGACCCTATTTTGAAATTGGCATCTTTTTCAATTTGTGTGAAATTGGCCAAATTGCCAATTTCTGACCACTATATTGGGTAGTTCAAATTGGTAAATGGGCGGTTTCTTGTACTCAGCTGATAGATAAAATGGAGTTCTACAGAAATAGCTATGAGTTTGGTCAACTGGAACAATGGAATTGGCTGAAAACAGGGCTCAAAGTCGGCGAAATCGCTGATACGCATATGTCACCGAGACCGCTAACTTCCGTGAGTTTTCGACCAAATTTCGAACTTTTGGTGTCATTACCATCGGGAACAGATTATCTATCATTTCATAAGAAAAAATATTTTTTTTTTTTTTTTTTTTTTTTTTTTTTCCAAAAAAATTTATCGACATAGAATGACAGTTTCAGAAAGGGGCCTGCGACAGTCAAAGGGTTAAGAAACATGGGAAAATAATGTTTAGTGAATGTAAGTAAAAGTTTACCAGATTTGCTTGCCATCTTACATGTTCATGAGATAGAGAAAATACCAGTACAGTAGTTCTTGTTCCTGTAATATTTCCTTTGTAATTTAGAAGGTCTAGTCTTAGACTGGGCTACAGGACTAATGATTCCCAGAACATTAAGAGAGATAACTGAAGTTATGCAAAATACTTTAAGCTAGAAATTAGTGGGAAGATTTGAAGTTGGAAAATAATGGTAAACCAGACCAGGGTATCTAAATTTAATGATTTCTAGCAGATGTATGTTTTGCAAAGAATGGTTAGCCACAGAAGAAAGCTGCTGGTGGGATCTGAAGGCCAAATAATGCTATTGAATTGCTATGGAGTGTGGCTCATTAAGTGATGGTTTAGAGATGTAAGAGGAGGTAAAATGAAAATGAGATGCAAACCTCTATTCCAGCAAGTGTCAGCCTCTATCATTTGTTTAGTTCAACACAGAAGGATGTATCATGTTAGGAGAAGCAATGATCAAACAAAGGATGATCAAGGTAAACAATTTTAAAATTAGTCTAGTTGGCAGGTTGAAAGTGTTAGAGGATTATAATAAGGATGTTGAAAGAGACTGAGGGACTGTCACAGCACAAGATATTAAAATTATGATTAGATCCCAAAGAGCCAGTATAATAATAAAGTGAGATATCGATAGAGAGGAAAAGATTGTATGTTTCAAATGAACCCAGGCCTTGTGATAAAATATCTCTTGGAACAATGACCTCAGCATTTGAAGATGACAAAAGACCCCTTGGTTTAAGTGAGATATTAAAAAAGTAAAAATTATTCAGGAAGTCATGGAAGCAGTAACAAAAAATAATTGGGATGATCTTCAGACAACACCTCAGGTTCTAACCCCTGGCAAGCCAGTCCTAAAACTAGCAGGCCAATGCTCTCACCACAGGTTTATTCCAGCTTAATGAGGTTCATCAGCTAGGTATATTTTAATACACTAGAGAGGTTAGCATGGGCCCCACTGATACCACAATTATATGCTTTTATGAACGAATCTTGCACTCACATGGCAGCTCTGAGATCCAGCTCAAGTCCCTTCAAAGTCGTTGTCAGTAATGCATGTAAATTGTATTAGCAAAATTTTCACATCACTGACAATGTCAGTCATAATGACTTGAGATAGATTTTATCTCAGAAATATGAGTGTGAGACTTGGTCATAAAAGCCTGCATTTGTGGTCAGAAAGGTGTTCATGGTAACCTCTTAGTAGTTTGATAAGTCTTCTTAAGCCTGTGTGGACTAGTAGTGAGAGCACTAACCTGCTATTTTTTAGCACAGGCTTGCCATGGTTTCGATTTCTGTTTGTTCCCAGAGATTTTTACAATTGTGCTATGATTTCTTCAAGTCTTGGAAACATCAAATTTTAGTAATGTTTGAAAAGGTGAACACTAATGATTTTTATGTGTAAATTGGAAATGGAAATAGAATCATTGAAAACATCCCTGGATACTCAAGTCTCAATGAAGAATAGAAAATTTTTTTGGGAGGAAAAAAAAAGATAATAAACTGTACAGAAGAAAAGCATAGACCATGCCAGATAGCCAAGACTGTGGGAAACTCATCAGTTATGCTGAATGAAAACACTGTCCATGAAGTATCTCAGTAGATAGTTCCATTAGCCACTTACCTCCACATTTATAAAAGTTACACTTTCATGATAAATTTTGAGAGTAACCGGATTTTTTTTATTTGTGGAGAGAATTCAAATTTCTTCAACTGTTTATGGAAAAATACGCACGATTCTTGTGTTCACGAAAGTGAGGTAACTTAAATTAACAATTGTATTTTTGTAAGATACATCAGGTACCAATGAGTGGTGTGTACTTTATATATAATGAATATGAAACAACACATACTATCACTGCATCACCTGATATTCTCATGAAAAGTTTCAGCAGTGTGCAGGAATAAAATTTTATTGACCACTCTGAGGCATTCCTGATAAAACTCAGCACTACATATATTCTTTTCGGCAGCCAGGCTTACACTTGAGTTCGAAAAGCACTGTGATTGCAGAGAACAATACTCTCCTCTTATCATGGTTATATTTCATATTGTAAGAGCCAGACATACGTGATAATTAATTTTCCCATTGTAGCTGAAACGTTGATCCATCCTTCCTTCCTTCCTTATTAAATTCTCGTACTTCATATTCTATTAAATCTAATTAATCTCACACTTCTTGTTGCAGATTAGCAGTGAGATCCAGTTAATGCAATTATTTTCAGTATAAAGAAATCACTCAAAAGAAATTTTGTTTTTTCCCAAATCCCTCCCAACAGATCAAGAAGTGAAGTAGAGGAAAAGGAAAAGAAATCTCGCCGGGACAAAGAGCGAAGAGAAAAAGACAGGCGTGAGGGAAGCTCAAATCGCAGGGACTATAGGAGGGATCATGAAAAATCTTCCATGGCACATGAAAGGTCCAAATCCAGAGCTGAAGAACGAGAACGCTTGGAACGCAGCCGTGAAAGGAGTCGTGAACGAAAGGAAAAAGAAAGGCTTATGAGAGAAAAAGTGAGTATTCCATTTCCTAGAGCTATAATTTTATGACAGCATTCACCATACAGTCATAATTTTCTATACTCACAATACTTCTTTCTTTATCTCATTATTCCTTAGTCTTTCATATTTGTTATCTAAGTACAGTGGACCCCCGACTTACGATCAGCTCACAACTCAAACAATTATGTAAGTGTATTTTTGTAAGTGATTTTGTAAGTGTATTTTTGGGGGTCTGAAACGGACTAATCTAATTTACAATATTCCTTATGGGAGCAAATTCGTTCTGTAACGGCACCCGAACAGCCTTCTGGAACGAATTAATATCGTAAGTCAGGGGTCCTCTGTATACAAAACTTGTTAAAAATTGTTCTCCCTGTTATTTTTTTTTCTTAATGTTGAGGATGTAAGTCCTTTCATATACATAAAGCAAATATGGGTAGGGCTTGAGCTCATGGCAAGTGAATCACAAAACTCCAGGCCAGCGCGTAAGCCACTGCCCACTTACCGTGAATATGAGCCCCACCAGTACCATAGTTTGCTTGCAATCATGTTATTACGATTTCATGAGTCATGATCATGGCCACGCTGGCGGGAGATTCATCTGTAAAAATTTGCATTTGTGGTCACAGTGGGACCCATACTAACCTCCATATGGTGTATAAATATACCTAGTTGGATGAATCTTATTGTAGCCAGCTGGCCCAGTGACTTAACACACTGGCCTGGAGTTTTGCGACTCGTGAGTTCGAGCCCCACCTGTACCATGGTTTGAATGATTATTGTATGGTCCCTATATTTTTTGCACAACCCTTTTTATCATTATCTGTTTAGGTGCTCTGTATTATGTCAGGGGAGGGGAGGGGAGTGAAGGAATAATAATAATAATAATAATAATAATAAAGTTTATTTCTTTGTAAAGGTTACAATGTGTAATTACAATTTTGATTTGCTAAGTACAAAGATAGCCACTATCATGCCAAGGCATTTCAGGCAAGGCAGGATGAAGAAAGAGTAAGAGGAAAGGTGAGAGAAAGGAAGATAGAAGTATGGAGAGATGGGAAGGGGGGAGGAAGGAAATGGGTAAAAAGAGAAAAAATGTGGCCAAAAATTGTAGTTTGAACAATTTTGTTTTTCTTAAAGCTGAATTAATAATATGTTGTCAAGGTTTATGAACTTTTTTAATCCATTATAATTTTTTATAAAGTAAAGATTAACAGGTGTGAATTATTTTTCACAATACTATGTCATCTTCATATAATCTTGTTCTTTTTCACAGCTTCTTCAAGAACAGGAACAGCGAGAGCGTGAATGGAAAGAAAGGGAGGAGCGTCGGAAAAGAGACTGGGAAAAGAGAATGGAAGAAAGAAAAGAAAGGGAGAGATTACGTGAAGAACGGTTGAGGGAGAGAGAAGATAGTAGAGATAAAGAGAGGGAACGGCGTAGGGATGACAACTTCAGAGACAGAGAAAGAGACCGTGATCGAGAAAGGGATAGAGATAAGGACAGAGAAAGGAGGTGTGTTTTTGTAACCAACCTGTTTATTCTGTGTAATTGTTTAATGTGTACTGTACTCTGTTCAAAATATAAATATGCTGAGGAAAAAATGATCACTGATAAAAATGTTCTTAAATAGGAGCTCTTCTGAAGAGTATGAGTGATAATTCATTCCTGAGTGATTTCCATCCAATATATGTTAAGATCACTGGGCATATATGGGGCAATTTCTTAGACAGTAGTTGAATAACAATAAAAATACATTTTAACAGACAAGAAGCGGATTACAGCCGCAATAGGGAAATTGATCGAGAGCTGGAGAGACAAAAAGAAATAATATTTGGTAAAGCCAAAGAATCCTCATCTGATTCCGAACCAGGAGACATTGATTTTGATGAAGATGAAGAGGAGGAGGAGCAGAAGATTGAACGAATGAGAAAACAGAGGGAGGAACTTTACAAGGTAAACATTTCGCTCTATATTTTTTTAGTCATTCTGCCCAGTATGTCAATTAATGGGATTTAATATAAGCTGTGTATTATTATAGCTATCATTGCAATGTAATTTAATTAAATTTTAGAACAGTACTTAGATGCTGTATGCTAAAATGTATTCTAACAGTGATTGAGTAAAGACTTTCACACCTTTTCACCAGATCAGTTATCATTTAACTCTTCATTTTTCCATTACACAATGGCATTTGTTTATCTTGCAGTGTAGGCTGTAAATTCATGAAACAGCTACAGTGACATCATACATCCTTGTCTGAAGCATGTAGGCTTTTACTAAAAAATACTCTCCTTTTTTTTTTACATGCTCTTCACATTTGTGTAAAGAAATACTGGAATATAAACGTAATCTCTGTGTATTACATTTATTGACCTGGCATTTTTTTTTAAATTTTCCTTCATCAGAAACTGGGTCTAGAACGTGATTCTTCACAAGTAACTCCTGCCACCAGTGAGGTGCCCTCTGGGAACAACACTCCTACGGATTCTCCTGCTCCTGCATCTAGGTAATCTTTGCTTCTGGTTAAACTTGCTAGTGCATTACTAACTTTCATAACAATATAATACTTTAGGAGTAGTGTGTACTTAGGAATAGTTAATTTATTGTTTTTACTCAAAAAAATTTTCTAATGATAAACAATAAGTTTAACTTCAATTTCATTATTGCTTTTGGTGAGTGAATAAAGTGAAGAATTAAAAACTTAAAAAAAAATTATATATTTATCTGGCACTGTCAAGTGAGGGAAATTTTTGATGGAGAGCATGATAGAATTTATGCTAACAGTTTCTTTGGATTATGTATTGTGATATTTTTCCATCATTATAGGCCACCATCACAATCAAAATCAGTGGAGCAGCCTTCATCACCTGTAAAATCAAGATCTGGTTCTCCAAGGTCACGTGAGTCCAGTAGTGACAGCAGCACCAGGAGAAGTAGAAGCAACAGCAGACAAAGAAACCAAAGTGGTAGCAGTAGTATTAACAGTAGTAAAAGTAGAGGTAGTGAAGACAAGGAAAATAAGACATCTAAACCAGATGACAGTAAAAATGAAAGTGAAATCAAAGAAGAAAACAGCAGTCTAGAGAAGGACGAGAATGTTCCTGAAAAAGAGAAAAAAAATAAGGACATGTTTTCAGACATGTTTGGTGACAACTTTGCTGTAGATAAATTAGGAGATATTCACTCAGGAGCTGCTGAAAATCCCAATCTCACAGACAACTGGGATGATGCAGAGGGTTACTACAGAGTCCGTATTGGAGAGGTACTGGACTCAAGGTTAGTAACAACTATTGGGCAATTAATGAAATATAATGGAAATCATTTATTATTATTTATTTTATTTTTGTGTACCTTCATTCATTGTCACTTAAATATTTTTAAATAATTGTCAATCTGCCTTGCATGTCATTTCTGATACTGCTTCGCTTGGACTGTATTTTGTAGTTTTAGTATTGTTTTTAGCTTTGTGCATGTGACCTGACACCTGTTTATCTTACCTTACAGATACACTGTGTATGGTTATACAGGCCAAGGAGTGTTTAGTAATGTTGTACGTGGCAGAGATGCAGCTAGAGCTGGGCAAGATGTTGCCATCAAAATCATTAGAAACAATGAAGTTATGTAAGTATACCATACAGTTTACAGTCACACATGTCAGTAATATCAGAATATACTGCAGTTAGTCATTTCCACTGATTTTAGTTAGACACAGCATATGCTGCTGTTTTTATATTGTAACAATATTTATATACTCTATTGACTTCTATAATAGCATTTTACACATATGGCATAAAATATACACTGTATATATAGTAGTTTCTTTCTTTCTTCTTTCTTTTTTCTTCTTCAGTGGGAGATGGCCAACTTGTTGAAAACAAAAATATGTAGTATTGATCAGAAATACCTCAGGAATTATTAATATTTATTACTGAATTGTGTGCTGTTCTGGCAGTACTTAAAGTGATTGACAAATCACTTATGAGGGGATATACAGTACTCAGATTTGCCAAATTGTGCTTTATGCAGTTTCATAGTAACTTCCAGTGCATTTTGTTATCCAAGAAAGTCCACGAATGAAGTGTGAGAAACCATTTAAAATATAAGAATGTGTGTGTGTGTGTGTGTGTGTGTGTGTGTATGTATGTATGTGTGTGTGAGAGAATGAGTGAGTGAGTGAGTGAGTGAGAGAGAGAGTGAGAGAGTGAGAGAGAGAGAGAGTGAGTGAGTGAGTGAGAGTGAGAGAGTTATTTGGTGTTGATGCTGAGACGACAGGTGCTGAAACATTATTGGGATCTGACATGCTCATGGTGTGTGAGCATGGTAATATTCATAAAGAGATTTAGGTTAATCAGTCCTGGACCTTGGATATTCAGATGAGGATTTTTGGTTTGGTAGGTCATACATTACAGCTTGAATTAAATGTTAAGTAAAGCAGATGCACACTATTCCAGTGGAATGATTTACCTTACTTTGCTAAACGATCAGTGAATATTAATATTGTATATAAATATTTATAAAGAATTGTTTTTCCAGGCACAAGACAGGGAAGAAAGAATTAAATATATTAAAAACCCTAAATGATGCTGACCCAGATGACAAGTATCATTGTTTACGTCTGTATCGACATTTCTTTCACAAGAATCATTTATGTATGGTGTTTGAACCACTGTCAATGTCATTGAGAGAGGTATGTACTGTATGTAATAGAAACAAACCATAACTGCTCTCCCTTGCAAGTTACTTGATTAAAAATAATGTAATTCTTCACCCATCCAAAGGCAGTTGATAAAATAATATCTGGAGCCATGCCACAGTTTATTTTACTACCATTAGATAAAGTAATGCTTTTATTTACCTGTTGTAGACATTTACCAACTTTTAATTTTTAAGAAGGTAAACATCACAATTCAAATAACCCTCCAAACAGTAACTTCCCACCCCTCCTTAAGAGTGTAGGCACTCATATGTTAAATTTTTCTTCCTTACCACCCCCTTTACCTCTTCATTGAATCAATTCACTCCTATTCCCACCTGCACCCACTCTCCTAAACCCACAAACTTCTGCTATGCATTAATGCTGCATTTTTGAAGCTATCCCATACCTCTTTGACTTCCTCCTAATTACCTGTACTCTCTAGCCCATCTTTCTCCCAATAGTTGCTTATTTCTTACCCTGTCTCTTCTAATTCAATTACTTTCACTTCACTCTTACCCACTGATGACATTCTCCTTGTACTCCATCAACAGTCTGCATGGAAAGTTAGGACGATGACTGCAGGACAGACTTTTGATAATTGAAACATGATAATTGCAACAATTGTAACAATTCAGATACCAATTACAAGTGGGGCCATGCAGCTTCAAGAGTGGCCTCGTCTGATTTGAGTCGAACTCTGCACCTTGTTCACTGAAACTCAGTTGTTGGCATATTGGATGAATAATAATGTTAGAAGAGGACAGTGTTTTCTTCTCTTCTAACATTATTATCAGTCACATCTGACCTTCATGGAACATAGTGCAGAATTCAGCCCGATGGCAGATGAACCCTCTCTTGAAGCTGCATGGCCCTACTTGCAATCAGTGTACAAAAATACAGGCTTCAACTATCTGTTACAATGCATTTCATTGATCAAAAGTTTCTTCTGCAGCTGGCATCATAGCTTTCTGCAAAGACTGTACCTCTTACCTTTACGGTAGCCACCACTAAATAATGGATGTGATATAACTGTCACCCCCCCCCCCCCCCTTCTGCATACATGCACATCCAGAGGTCTACCCATCAACCTTTCGTTTATTACATACTTGGGCAAACTGCTATCATTCAGCCCTGTATCATATCTCTTATACTTTTATATCCTCTTTTTTTCCTAAAAGATGTGTTGCTTATTACCAAATCTCTTTCTGCACATGACTTGGTCACTACACCATTTACAACAGTTTCTCCCACTTTAGCATTCATGTCCTCCCTAATAATTATGTTCTTACTTGGTTTAAAACTCTCTAAACATTCACTTAACACCTCCCAGTCTTCTTTCTCTCCTCCACATTCCTCTCTTCCCAGTGCATAAACTTATTATAACCCACTTCTTACATCCCACCCTTTTTTTTTTTTTTTTTTTTTTTAAACAAACCAGCCTTATCCCATTGAGGAAGGATGACCCAAAAAGAAAAACTAACATTTCTTTTTTTAAATTTAGTAATTTATGCAAGAGAAAGGGTTACTAGCCCCCTTGCTCCTGGCATTTTAGTCGCCTCTTATGACACATGGCTTACGGAGGAAGAATTCTGTTCCACTTCCCCATGGAGAACCCTTATTCTTATCCACATAATTTTGTATGTATACAGAATAAGAGCAGTCAACAGTATTATTCATATAGGATAGTCTAAATGAAAATAGTACAACCTTTATTCAACAGTTCCTTAACTTGCAGCTACTGATGACAAGTCTCATTCAGAAGTAAGATTGTGTAGGATGAAAAATTTAATTTCCATGGAAAGATTGAGAAAGATATAGAAAATAATGAAACAAAAATTTGCTAATTTTATTTCAATCAGTTGAAATGTCAGATATGTACCAGTCTAAACAAAAGAATTGTTGCACTGTGTATCAAAAATAAATGCAAATTGTTTTATAATACAAACAAAATTATACAGTAGGGCCCCGCTTTTCTGCGTTTCGCCTTACGGTGTTCCACTAATATGATGATCTCAAATTATGACCAAAACATCCTGTACAGAGAGCGGTCTTTCAAATACTGTGTGTGCCACCCGGTTTGTTTACATTCTCCATGAGCACATCTCTCTATTATGTAATAATAACCACACTTGGCCACATTATATGTCTTATTTTACATCAATATAGACATTTTCATTAATCCATCTATATTTTCTTCAAAATTATTTAAGAAACACATTACATAGCATATAAACAAGCTGTTTATATGCTATGGAAGTGTGGTTGCCAGGTGGAGGGAAAACATTACATAATACTAATAACAATCACTCTTGGGCACATTAAATGTCTTGTTTTACATTAGTATAGACATTTTCATTAATCCATCTATGATATTTTCTTCAAAATTATATGAGAAACACGTTACATAGCATATAAACATTTTATGTTTATATACTATTGAGGTGTGGTAGCTGGGTGGAGGGAAAACATTACGTCACTCCCCTTAATACATAACGCGTTTGTTTACAATTCTTGGCATGAATTATTCATTACTTCTCCCTTTGTTTATGATGGCATCTAAAAGTAGTTGTTAGAAACAATTAAACTCAGTGAACATGGTATGTCGATGGTAATGATATGATTCTGGGCCACATTAAATATCGTGTAGCTATGTAGGCAGGCAAAGGTATGTAGCCCAAGCAGACGACATACCTACATTATTATTATAACTGATAATTATACGTATGTGTACCTGTACCTAGGTATGCCTTCATTCAGGGTGTTATTTCTTCTAAAAATGATGTTACATGAGAATGGGAGTGTTTCTCTTTATTTATTCTACTGTATCAACGTGGAGACCAACTTGTACACAATGTAAAGTGACTAAAACTAGATGCATTTGGTTTGTTTACATTATGTGTGGGTGGGGTGGGGCTTGCTGCCCTTCCTGGCTACCCATACTTCCCAGCCTGACTTCCTACAAATAAAACTCACCTCTTATCCTACATTAAGACTACAAATATATTTTAAGGTACATAATGAATGTACTGTATATGTATTTTATCTCTCTGGGGAGCTTTAATTAAATGTAGTATTATATTATGTGTCGGTGGGGTGGGCTGACCTGGCTGGCTACCATACCTCCCAGACCTGACTTCCTACAAACAAAACTCACTTCTCACCCAACATTAAGACTACAAGTATTTTCAGTAAGTAATGGGTGTACTGTGTGTGTATTTTACTTTTTATTGTTTTTAATGCCTAGTTCTGTTGCTAATGTAATATATGTTAGTGTAAACTTGTTACCTGGCATTTATATGCATTTATAAGTGGAAAAAATGGCGTTCTGCTTTCCGGCGATGTCTCCTTTCCGGCAGTAGCCTGGAACCTAACCTGCAGTATAAGTGGGGCCCTACTGTATATAAAAGATATAGATTACTTAAACATTTTGCTTCTTAATTTCAAGTTAACATATGTGTACAGTATAATAATTTAAAAGTGTACACCATTGATGACAAATTCTTTATAAATTATTAGCATGTGTGTTAAAAATTAAAATCACATTCTTGCATCCCCTTGTAGGTGCTGAAGAAATATGGTAAAGATGTAGGTCTTCATGTGAAAGCTGTTCGCTCCTATACACATCAGCTGTTTTGTGCCCTTAAGTTACTTCGTAAGTGTAATATCCTTCATGCAGATGTCAAACCTGACAACATCTTGGTAAGCATAGTTTTATTGTGGTTATTATTTAATTAGTTATTAATTTTGAAAAATGTCTTTTGGTATAAGGGGCCATTTCTAAAACCAGGTATGTCACACAGTATGTATTAGGATAGTAATGAACCCCCAATCAAAATCTCCAATATGTCCATACTGTACACCTTGGTGTGCAGTATGGACCATTAGCAAACAGAATACACCATACTCATATTCTTTCAGCTGCTGACATTACGGAAGATTTTCACATGCCCTAATCATGATATTGCATTCACTATGGTCTTTCTCATTGGACAAAATTTTTAAGTATATCACTAATTTCAAGTCATCTACTGCACTTTACATGCACATAACACAATATTGTCAATTATTGCCTTTTATCATTACTTTCCAATCAACCAGTGCACAGGTAAATCCTCTTCTAGGAAGGGTGTTCTATGAGATTGCATGATCATTAACATATATCCCACTTCATTGAAATTGTGTTCAGAGATATTGCAGCATTTTTTTCAGTGTAAATTTTATATTTTGTTACATGCTTCATTTATACTATCAGTGCTCATTTTCAGATATAAGTGTTATGCAAATAGGGGACAAGATAAACTAATACACCTCATTTATGTTGAAATGAAATTTATATACATTTGTATTCTTTGTTTTTTTTTTTTTTTCATTTTCATTATATTTGCAGGTAAATGAGAAAAAGCTTGTGCTGAAGCTTTGTGACTTTGGCTCAGCATCAAAAGTTACTGAGAATGAAATAACACCCTACTTGGTTGCTAGATTCTATAGAGCCCCTGAAATCAGTAAGTATCAACTAGTATACCTTAAAATACAGTACTGTACTATACATACTTTACTGCAGAACACACTACATAATTTAAACATAGGTTTATAAAGAAATAATGTAAACCATTGAAGGGTACCTCATCTTGCTAATCTGAGTTTTATAATATTCCAGCCTAATGTATAGATACATGGTTCATTTAAATAAGGGCAAATTCTGGACCCTTGTGTTGTGTTACCAGGAGTCATCTGAGTGTATATATATGTGTATGTCTTTCTTTCTTTCAACACACCGGCCGTATCCCACCAAGGCGGGGTGGCCCAAAAAGAAAAACAAAAGTTTCTCTTTTTAAATTTAGTAATTTATACGGGAGAAGGGGTTACTAGCCCCTTGCTCCCGGCATTTTAGTCACCTCTTACAACACGCATGGCTTACAGAGGAAGAATTATATATATATATATTTTTTTTTTTTTTTCAACAAATTGGCCGTCTCCCACCGAGGCAGGGTGACCCAAAAAAGAAAGAAAATCCCCAAAAAGAAAATGCTTTCATCATCATTCAACACTTTCACCACACTCACACATAATCACTGTTTTTGCAGAGGTGCTCAGAATACAACAGTTTAGAAGCATATACGTATAAAGATACACAACATATCCCTCCAAACTGCCAATATCCCAAACCCCTCCTTTAAAGTGCAGGCATTGTACTTCCCATTTCCAGGACTCAAGTCCGACTATATGAAAATAACCTGTTTCCCTGAATCCCTTCACTAAATATTACCCTGCTCACACTCCAACAGATCGTCAGGTCCCAAGTACCATTCGTCTCCATTAACTTCTATCTAACACGCTCACGTACGCTTGCTGGAAGTCCAAGCCCCTTGCCCACAAAACCTCCTTTACCCCCTCTCTCCAACCCTTTCGAGGACGACCCCTACCTCGCCTTCCTGTCCCTATAGATTTATATGCTTTCCATGTCATTCTACTTTGATCCATTCTCTCTAAATGACCAAACCACCTCAACAACCCCTCTTCTGCCCTCTGACTAATACTTTTATTAACTCCACACCTTTTCCTAATTTCCACACTCCGAATTTTCTGCATAATATTTACACCACACATTGCCCTTAGACAGGACATCTCCACTGCCTCCAACCGTCTCCTCACTGCTGCATTTACCACCCAAGCTTCACACCCATATAAGAGTGTTGGTACTACTATACTTTCATACATTCCCTTCTTTGCCTCCATAGATAATGTTTTTTGACTCCACATATACCTCAATGCACCACTCACCTTTTTTCCCTCATCAATTCTATGATTAACCTCATCCTTCATAAATCCATCCGCCGACACGTCAACTCCCAAGTATCTGAAAACATTTACTTCTTCCATACTCCTCCTCCCCAATTTGTTATCCAATTTTTCTTTATCTAAATCATTTGATACCCTCATCACCTTACTCTTTTCTATGTTCACTTTCAACTTTCTACCTTTACACACATTCCCAAACTCATCCACTAACCTTTGCAATTTTTCTTTAGAATCTCCCATAAGCACAGTATCATCAGCAAAAAGTAACTGTGTTAATTCCCAATTTGAATTTGATTCCCCATAATTTAATCCCACCCCTCTCCCGAACACCCTAGCATTTACTTCTTTTACAACCCCATCTATAAATATATTAAACAACCATGGTGACATTACACATCCCTGTCTAAGACCTACTTTTACCGGGAAGTAGTCTCCCTCTCTTCTACACACCCTAACCTGAGCCTCACTATCCTCATAAAAACTCTTTACAGCATTTAGTAACTTACCACCTATTCCATATACTTGCAACATCTGCCACATTGCTCCCCTATCCACTCTACCATATGCCTTTTCTAAATCCATAAATGCAATAAAAACTTCCCTACCTTTATCTAAATACTGTTCACATATATGCTTCAATGTAAACACTTGATATACACATCCCCTACCCACTCTGAAACCTCCTTGCTCATCCGCAATCCTACATTCTGTCTTACCTCTAATTCTTTCAATTATAACCCTACCATACACTTTTCCTGGTATACTCAATAAACTTATTCCTCTATAATTTTTACAATCTCTTTTGTCCCCTTTCCCTTTATATAAAGGGACTATACATGCTCTCCGCCAATCCCTAGGTACCTTCCCCTCTTTCATACATTTATTAAACAAAAGTACCAACCACTCCAACACTATATCCCCCCCTGCTTTTAACATTTCTGTCATGATCCCATCAGTTCCAGCTGCTTTACCCCCTTTCATTCTACGTAATGCCTCACATACCTCCCCCACACTTACATTCTGCTCTTCTTCACTTCTAAAAGATGGTATACCTCCCTGACCAGTGCACAAAATTACCACCTCCCTTTCTTCCTCAACATTTAAAAGTTCCTCAAAATATTCTCCCCACCTAATACCTCCCTCTCCCCATCTACTAACTCCCCTACTCTATTTTTAACTGACAAATCCATACTTTCCCTAGGCTTTCTTAACTTGTTTAACTCACTCCAAAATTTTTTCTTATTGTCATTAAAATTTCTTGACAGTGCCTCTCCCACTCTATCATCTGCTCTCCTTTTGCACTCTTTCACCACTCTCTTCACCTTTCTTTTACTGTCCATATACTCTGCTTTTCTTATAACACTTCTGCTTTGTAAAAACCTCTCATAAGCTAACTTTTTCTCTTTTATCACACCCTTTACTTCATCATTCCACCAATCACTCCTCTTTCCACCTGCCCCCACCCTCCTATAACCACAAACTTCTGCCCCACATTCTAATACTGCATTTTTAAAACTATTCCAGCCCTCTTCAACCCCCCCACTACTCATCTTTGCACTAGCCCACCTTTCTGCCAACAGTCGCTTATATCTCCCCCGAACTTCCTCCTCCCTTAGTTTATACACTTTCACCTCCCTCTTACTTGTTGTTGCCACCTTCCTCTTTTCCCATCTGCCTCTTAATCTAACTGTAGCTACAACTAAATAATGATCCGATATATCAGTTGCCCCTCTATAAACATGTACATCCTGGAGCCTACCCATCAACCTTTTATCCACCAATACATAATCTAACAAACTACTTTCATTACGTGCTACATCATACCTTGTATATTTATTTATCCTCTTTTTCATAAAATATGTATTACTTATTACCAAATCTCTTTCTACACATAGCTCAATTAAAGGCTCCCCATTTACATTTACCCCTGGCACCCCAAATTTACCTACTACTCCCTCCATAACATTTTTACCCACTTTAGCATTGAAATCCCCAACCACCATTACTCTCACACTTGATTCAAAACTCCCCACGCATTCACTCAACATTTCCCAAAATCTCTCTCTCTCCTCTACACTTCTTTCTTCTCCAGGTGCATACACGCTTACTATAACCCACTTTTCACATCCAGTCTTTATTTTACTCCACATAATCCTTGAATTAATACATTTATAGTCCCTCTTTTCCTGCCATAGCTTATCCTTCAACATTATTGCTACTCCTTCTTTAGCTCTAACTCTATTTGAAACCCCTGACCTAATCCCATTTATTCCTCTCCATTGAAACTCTCCCACCCCCTTCAGCTTCGTTTCACTTAAAGCCAGGACATCCAGCTTCTTCTCATTCATAACATCCACAATCATCTCTTTCTTATCATTTGCACAACATCCACGCACATTCAGACTTCCCACTTTGACAATTTTCTTCTTCTTATTCTTTTTAGTAATCTTTACAGGAAAAGGGGTTACTAGCCCATTGTTCCCGGCATTTTAGTTGACTTTTACAACACACATGGCTTACGGAGGAAAGATTCTTATTCCACTTCCCCATGGATATAAAAGGAAAAGTAATAAGACCAAGAACTATTAAGATAAAATCAAAGAAAACTCAGATGAGTGTGTATAAATAAATGTGTACATGTATGTGTAGTGTGACCTAAGTGTAAGTAGAAGTAGCAAGACATACCTGTAATCTTGTATATTTATGAGACAGACAAAAGACACCAGCAATCCTACCATCATGTAAAACAATTACAGGCTTTTGTTTTACATTCACTTTGCAGGACGGTAGTACCTCCCTGGATGGTTGCTGTCTACATATATATATGTGTGTACTCTTTACATAGCCATCATTGAAAATTTGTTATGTGAATCTTTTGCTTTATTACAGTTTTAGGAATGACTTATGACTTTGGTATTGATCTGTGGTCTGCAGCTTGTACCATTTATGAACTCTACACTGGAAAAATTATGTTCCCTGGAAAGACTAATAATCAGGTGAGTTGATGTTGAGTGCTTCTGTCTTTTGTGTCACCGATGAAGATAATGTAGAGATAATGAATGTTCAGTGCAACCTTGATTTAGTGGACTAATAGGGCAAGAGGATGTCTAGTAATGTAGATTGTTAAATCAGAATGATCAGATTGTTTTTCCATGATCATAATAATAATTGATAATTCTGGATTTAACCAATTTTGTCCATTAAACTTGAAATCAATTTACCCAGTGAACTGTTTCATTAACAGACAATTCTGTAAATTGTTCATTAAGTTTTAAATCAATTTACTCAGTATACTGTAACAATAATGAACAGTTCTGGATTTGATGGATTTTGTCTGTTAAATCTGAAATCTATTCAATTGAGGTTTAATAAATTAGTTTTTTTACTGTAAATTGATGGCAGTTAACTACTCGCCTTCCCAAAAATACTTTGAAATTAGTATTTAGTCTTTATAGTGCTTATGATAAATAAGACCAGCTTAGCATATATTAGTGAATATTATTTCAATGTTGGATAATTAGAATAGGAGGATGGGAGTCAGCAGGTACCCAGGAATGTGCTACCATTCTTTCATGTAGTAATAAGACAGAAAGGCTTAATATTGTCCATTCAGAATTGCTAATTATATTTTTGCATTATCATTAAAATTAAGATATTAGGCCAAGTGTACTACTGTTATTACACACCGGCCTCTCTCCCATCCCGTTTGCTCCTTGAATCTCTTTCATATAAAAGCCACAATTTATATCCTTTAGTACTTAGGAAAACACAGGCTAGAATCTAATTCTTGTATGTTGGAATGTTACTTAAATGCCTTTTTCTTGAACCTTTACTAACCAGATATTTAAGTAAGGTAGAATCTCAACAGATGGTGGTCGGATGGGAGTCTTGCCTCTTGTTAAAAAGACTGGGGTAAAAAAAATGAGGATAGAATTGTCATTCTGAAACTCTGGGTATAGAATGTCCTGTTGTACATTGATCATTTATGCAAAACCATCAATGATATACTTTGGTCAGATATTTATACATCCTGCAGTTCTGTTAAGTTATAAAATTATTGCCTTATCAGTAATTTGTATTTATTCATTTAACTTTACTTTTTGTAGATGCTAAAACTCTTCATGGATCTGAAAGGAAAAATGCCAAATAAAGTGATTAGAAAAGGAGCCTTCAAGGATCACCATTTTGATGCAGCTTGCAACTTCCTTTATAGAGATGTTGATAGGGTCACAGAAAGGGTAAGTGTTAAAGAAATCTTTTCTGTTGTGTTGTTTAACCCTTTGACTGTCGCGGCCGTATATATACGTTTGTGAGGTACCGTGTTTGACGTATATATACTCATAAATTCTAGCGGCTTCAAATCAGGCAGGAGAAAGCTAGTAGGCCCACATGTGAGAGAATGGGTCTGTGTGGTCAGTGTGCACCACATAAAAAAAATCCTGGAGCACACAGTGCATAATGAGAAAAAAAAAACTCCGACCGTTTTTTTTAATTAAAATGCCGACTTTGTGGTCTATTTTCGTATAGTATTTGTGGTTGTATTCTCGTTTTCATGGTCTCATTTGATAGAATGGAAACTATATTATAGAAATGGAGGTGATTTTGATTAATTTTACTATAAAAAGAACCTGGAAATGGAGCACAAAGTACAGGAAATGTTTGATTTTTGCCGATGTTCAAAAGTAAACAAATGATGTCATTGTCCAATAAATGTCCAAATAGCCATTCTAATACGCAGTCATGAATGGGTTGATGTAATTTTTACAATTATTACAGTATTGCAGTAGTCTGCATAACAGTAAATCTTCTATATTTTGTTTGAATAAAATTTCAAAATAAAAAGCAAGAGTAATATCACAGGGACCTGGAGACATGACTGATGAACAAAGAAAATCTTATTTTAGAGCCAGGAATGTCTGCATTGTTCATTCTGGACCTTATTTTGAAATTGTCGTATTTTTTAATTTTCGTGAAATTGGCCAAATTGCAAATTTCTGACCATGTTATTGGGTAGTTGAAATCGGTAAATGGGCAGTTTCTTGTGCTCAATCGATAGAAAACATAGAGTTCTGAAGAAATAGTTATGAGTTTGGTTGACTGGAATGACGGAATTAGCCGAAAATAGGGCTCAAAGTGGGCGAAATTGCCGATTTTTAAATATCGCCGAAGTCGCTAACTTCGCGAGAGCGTAATTCCGTCAGTTTTCCATCAAATTTCGTTTTTTTGGTGTCTTTACAATCGGGAAAAGATTCTCTATTATTTCATAAGAAAAAATAATTTTTTTTTTTTCGAATATTTTGCGACACCAGGAGCAACTTCAGGATTGGGCCCTTCGACAGTCAAAGGGTTAAGAAAAACTGTCCTATATTTACTCAATATGCCACCCATATTTACTTGCATCTGGAGGTGCAGTAAAACCTCTAATAAACTGACCCCCATTTAATGGATTTAGGAAATCACAGACAAACAAAATTGGCTGGACAAATGCTGGAATCATTGAACAAAATGGGAAAAAGTTTGTAATTCTGGATCTTGTTGATGGTAATAGCATCTGGTTGCCTTCCGAATTGATTGATCCAGTACAAGCCATAGGGTCCTTGTTTAGGATATGTTGGTTTTCATTTTTCCTGAGTCATAGGCTGCCCCCATCAGTCTATTGTCTGTGCTCACTCATGTATGCATTTGTCATCAAGTCTCCAGTTTTCCCTGAACTAATAAAGAAGGTTGAGTCTGGCATCTCAGTGGCACAGGTATGTGAAGTATCAATGCACTGCCACAGATGCATTCTGTATTCATTGAGATAGGGATAGGAAGGTGAAGGGCTACTCCAGTGTGAATGATCTGAGAGTCAAGAAAGATGCCCATGAAATAACTAGGGATATTCTACAGGAAATCTTCATGAGAATCTTTCACTGCTAGGCAAGCTCTATTCTTCCATAACTCATTCTCAAACATTGATAATTAGGCCATATCATACATTACACAAATAACCCGCACATAGAAGAGAGGAACTTACGACGACGTTTCGGTCCGACCTGGACAATTTACAAAGTCATGCTAATGAAAAGGAGAGGAGTGAGTATATGTAGGCAGGGGGAGGGAGGAGGTAGTGGTAGTAGTTGAGGTAGAAGGTAGTAGTAGTGAGGAAGGTAGTATGGTGGAAGAGGAGCCAGTCAAATACTAAGAAAGAGGAGCACTGCAAGAGAGCTAGGTGCCCACAAAGAATAAGAGCAAGAACACAGAGGGGGGGGAGGAATAAATAAATAATAACTAATGAAGGAATAAATACCCAAGGCAGAAGAATGACAACCCAAAGGAGAAAAGGGAAAGAGGAAAGGGGAAGAGGGAGAAGAAAAAGGAGGAATCAGGTTAAGTCACGGGTGTTCTGAAGTTTGGAGCATTTTACAATGTAGTGGGAAAGGAAGGCATCTCCTTCTCTCCTCTTCGTTAGTGTGACTTTGTAAATGGTCCAGGTCGGACTGAAATGTCATCGTAAGCACCTCTCTTCTATGTGCAGGTTATTTGTGTATCGTTCCAGTCACGGTATTGTGCCTTTTTTTGTTACATATACATTAATGGGCTATTCCAGTGAGAGTATGGTTTTAAGGAAAAGCTAGTATGGTTTGTGGACAGTGAGAAAATCTCACTTCCTGGCTTCTATGAACTTAGAATCATGAGTACTATTGTAGTGTATACTATATAATATTACGTGTTTATAAGAAATAGAGTATAACAAATTCATGTGAATATATAGTTAATGGCATTTACTGAAAGGACTTTTCATCCATGAGGGATGTCTTCTAAGTAAACATCTTTTCAGTAAATGCCATAAACAGCATATTGTGTCTTAGCTGCATACTTGTTAGTGTATTTTGCCATTGATATTCATAAATTTGTTTTAAAATTTTGTACAAAAATATTTTGTTGTACCCCTCTTCAAACATTATCTTACATTTTACTTCAACATTTCAGGAAAAAGTAGTAGTAATGCCTACCATTAATCCAACGAGAAACTTGCAGCATGAATTGCTTGGAGAAGGAAATTTACCAGAAGACCACACACGCAAGGTGACTCAACTGAAGGATCTAATGGAGAGATGCCTCATGCTGGACCCTGTTAAGAGAGCAACAATAGACAATTGCTTAATGCACCAGTTCATTAGAGAAAAAATGTGATTTTAATTTTGTCAAGTGTGTATGGTTGTGATAAAACTATTTGGAACTCCTGTCAGCAGGCTCAAATTTATATATTTATTTGCAATTATGAATGTTATGAGTGCTAATGATATAATTTAGTAAATACTAAAGAAAAACAATTAAATTAAAATGTACAAAAACCAAACTAGGTTTACAATTTTTTTTTTCATTTTGGAAAGTACATGTGTATATTTTTCTTTAACTTTTATTACTTGTGAAGTTTTAATATTAAAAATTAATTTTTTGGTATTATCCTCTTAGGATCTAGGTGGCAAGTATTTAGCCATTGCTATTGTAAATGAAGAAATTTAATGCAAGGCCTGCTTGACTGACTGTTTACTCCTGTAACTGTCACTGTACCTGTCAACTTGTTACTGTATTATATCAGCCAGAGGAAAATCTTACAACAGTGTTGAACCAAAGAGTTTGTCTTGACTCATCACTAGACTACTTTTTTTTTGCCCATTTTACCCACTAAAAATTTTATGTTCATACAACATTCATTATGAGACTTATTTACATGATTGTGTTAATAGTTTGCTTGTATATAAGTAACATTTTGTAGAATTTGGTTTGTCATACCTTCATACTATATGCAGTACTTTTCCACTAAGAAAAACATAATGATGAGAGTGTGTGCCTGTGAGTTTGCTTATTATTGAGGCTTCAGGTAATAATTGAAATTTTGTATATTATTTGCTGACATATACACAGTATATGATAGAGTATGCATGGGGTCCATGTTTGAATTCTCAGATTAAATGAAGTAGAATTTAGTCTTTCAATTAGAAATTTTTTAATATTTTTGTGCTGCATTTCTTTACAATGGCATTTTATTACTATTTCAGTACGAGGGGAGAACATAGGATAAATAATAAGCATACAATTGTATTAATATTAATGATTCTTCACAGATTTATTTTATTTTATTTTATATTACAAATAAAATAGTCATTGTTTTTTATGACCATTTAAATGGAAAAAGTACTTGTTGTAAAATAATAATATAAATATATACAGGTTAAAATATTCAAAATTCCTAAATGCCTATAACATTAAAAGAAAAAAAAGTCAAAATATAGTGGTTGAAACAAAAAATCTTCACTTAAGACAGGAACATATTCATTTAAGTTTGCCAGGATGGGCCTCAGCCCGGGTCTTCTCCATGTGGTGGTGACCCTGCAGTATCTCCTAAAGGATTATTATTATAATCAAAACGAAGCGCTAAACCACCAGAGTCATACAGTACTGCAGGGTAGGGAGTATAACAGAAGTAGAGTTTGTGAGGAGTGCTGAAGGAAGTACAGTGGAACCTCGGTACTCAGACATCTCCGTATTTAAATGGTTCGGTATTTGAATGTTTTGTCTGGTAAACAAATCTTTCAGTAGCCAACCATTTGCTCAGCACTCAACCAAACAAACACAACCTCCCAGAACTTTGCAGTAAACTATTGTGTGTTTCTTTGAATTTTTTTTATATATATATTTGTGTAAATAAGTCATCATGGGGCCTAAGAGGGTTAGTTATAACAACCAACCAAAAAGAAAATTGAAAAAAATCGTCTGTACTTGAACAGCCTTCTGGAACCAATTAAGTTCGAGTGGCGAGTTTCCACTGTACAATCAGAGGTTGTGGAATAAATCTGTTGCTGTCAGTCAATGAGGGAATCTGTGTCAAAGGTGGGGCCGTCAGCGAGGAGTAGTAGAGCAGTGACGACATCGGAGGTAAGTTGCATGTGCTTGCTAATAGACAGGACAGTCCAATAGATTAATGACAAACTGAAATTGGAGCTTGGCAATTTGCACAGAATGGGAAGGAGTCATAAGAATGGTTGGAGGGAGAGGATACAAGAGGCTTTGAGTTTTAGGAAATAGGCATTTGATGTAGTATTTAGAGAGAGACAAGAGTCTTTCCCCCCATCAATATGGCTTTCATAAGGGCTGCTCTACTATTGACCCCTTACTCCATTTAGCTAGCTATGTCCGTAATGCCTTTGCTAGTAACCACTCCGTTATAACAGTCTTTTTTGATCTTGAAAAGGCATATGACACTACTTGGAGGTATAACATCTTGGTCCAAGCTCACTCCTTCGGCCTCCGAGGCAATCTGCTATCTTTTCTTGCAAACTTCTTATCTGAGAGGCATTTCTATGTTTGGGTTAATAATTTGCTTTCCCTGGACTTTGTCCAAGCTGAAGGTGTTCCACAGGGATGTGTCCTTAGCACCACCCTTTTTCTCCTTGCTATAAATGATATGACATCCGTTCTCCTATTTAATACTTGGTCATCACTCTTGCATGTGCAGGAGCTGATTGTTGCCTATTAGCAGCCTCACTCCAGAATGCTGTCAACAATGTTTCCCATTGGGCCACTACTCATGGGTTTAAATTTTCTAGTGCTAAAACACAAACCATTATTTTCACCAGACAGTCAGTCATCCCTGATACTGCATTGTACCTGTATAGCTGACGAATCCCTGAATGTGATAGTCAGATTTTTTGGCCTACTGTTTGATTGCCGGTTGTCTTGGAAACCTTACATTACCTCCCTGAAAGCAACTTGCCATAGCCGGCTGAACCTTCTTAAAACCCTCGCTCATCTTTCATGGGGGCAGATCATTGAACCCTCCTCCTACTACATTCGGCCTTAATTTTATTGAAACTAGATTATGGTGCCCAGATATATTCTGTGGCCTCTCCTGCAACTCTCTAATGATCCCATCCATCATCAGGGATTACGTTTATGTCTCGGTGCTTTTCGCTCCTCACCTGTTGAGAGCCTCTATACAGAAGCAAATGTCCCATCCTTGAACGTTCATGATGCTCATTGCCTCCACTATTTTGTCTGCTTTCATGACCTTCATGATCCTTCTACATACAGGATAGTAACAAACGTTAGCAGAAGCCCATCATTTGTTCGCCTGTTTACTCTGTCCCTTTTCTCTTCAGTCGCTCTTGTCTTCTCTTCAGTTGCCCCCTTTATATGTTCATCTAGCATCTAACTTTTCATTCCCCTTTTGGGAAGTTCCGACAGTTAGTGTCTGTTCTTCCCCACTTCTGATCTCATTTTCATGCTGTTGCAGTGTACATTGATGATTCTAAATGCTCTGATGGTATCGGGTTTGCAGCAGTGTTTCCTGACAGTGTGGTGCGAGGTCATTTATTAGACTTGGCTAGCATTTTTACAGGTGAATTGTATGCCATTTTCATTGCGGTTATTCATATTGCATCTATGCCTACTTCAAAGTCTGTAATCGTCTCATACTCCTTTAGTGCTTTGCAAGCTATTAAAAAATTTGATTTGCCTCATTCCCTAGTGCTTTGTAAACAACTTTGGTTATGCCCCTGGCATAACCAAATGTAATAGTAATTACATTCATTGGGGAGTGCTAAACCCATAGGAGTCATAGTGCCCGAGAAAATGGGAGGCATTCAAGTTTGATCCAAAAAAAGAGAGGAGGTCCAATCCCCTGTATCAAGAGACCCTCTTCAAGGGGGGCTCCTTGTTGTGGTGAAGAGGCTCTTGGTCTGAGGAATCAGACCTGTTGGTCTCCTTCCTCAGACCGAACCTAATTACCCCCCAATCCCCCCCTCCCTATCCCATCCTCCCCTTTTTCCTTTCCTCCTCCTCCTCCCCACCCCTCCCTTTTGCCCTTCCTCTTTTTGGCCTTTGGGATTTCTCCCACAGGCGCGCTAGTTCCTAGGTAGGGGAAAGGATACCGGGGTCCATCCCATTCCGTTGAGGTTCTTGGCGGTGGCGTAGTTTGCCGTGGAATCTGGATCGCCTGGGGATGTCCCAATCCCTCTCCGGTATCCCAGAGTAGCTTTGGGTGTCTTTCGGGCGACGGGTGTATCTCTGGAAGCCACCTTTCGGATTCCGGGGGTGGTGGCCGAAGGAGGTATGCTTTGTGGCGGATATCCGGCCGCCCTCTCTTTTGTCCACCGAGGTAGCTCGGCAGATGTAAGGTTGCTATCCCGGATTGCTGGTTTACTGGCATGAAGGGTAGGGTATGGCACGGGTTCCATGCTGCATCTGCGCTACTAGCGGTGCTGAGGTCCTCTTGGGCACGGAGGGAGATTTCTGGCCCTTTCATTCCTCCTGGGAACTATTCCTCCCCGCTCCCCCCTTTTTTTATTATTTTTTATTTTATTTTCTTTCTTTTTTTTTCTTAAAAACAAAAAGCAAAGGAGTAACCTAACCATGGAGAACCCAATTCATGAACCCACTACCCCCGGGCCCCTTCTTGATACCGCACCCCATTTTGACCCTGCCTTGCTTTTAGACCACTCTTCGGACACTCCTGATGCCCCTGTACCTCTTGCTGGTGCTGTTTCCTCACCCGCTTCAGGTACCCGGGCTTCGACTGACTCCTTCGATTTGTCTGACCTCCGCTCTCCTTTGACTATGCTTCCGGCCTCTCCCTCTACGGTACAGCAATTTTCGAATCGCCAGCCCATTTCACGCCGGACCAACTCCGGTCCTACTCCTAAATGCCAATGTCAATCTCCTGATGATGCTCCTTCGTTACCTTCCCATTCTACTCGGAAAAGACCGACACGTCATGCACTCCCTCTCCACCGTAGGTTATCCTGGAAACCTCACATTACCTCTCTGAAGGCAACTTGTCACAGCCGGCTAAACCTTCTTAAAACCCTTGCTCATCTTTCCTGGGGAGCTGATCGTCGAACTCTGCTTCGCCTACATTCAGCCCTCGTTTTATCGAAACTCGATTATGGTGACCAGATTTATTCAGCGGCCTCTCCTGCTACTCTCTCTAGCCTTAACCCCATCCATCACCAAGGATTACGTTTATGCCTTGGTGCTTTTCGCTCTTCCCCTGTTGAGAGCCTCTATGCAGAAGCGAATGTTCCATCCTTGTCTGATCGCCGTGATGCCCATTGCCTTTGCTACTATGTACGCTCTCACGATCTCCACAATCCTTCCATTTATAGAATGGTCACCGATATTAGTAGACATTCTTTATTTGTTCGCCGCCCCTGTTTGTTCTGTCCCTTTTCTCTTCGCCTACATTCGCTCTTGTCTTCCCTTCAGTTACCACCTTTATATGTTCATGTAGCATCTCACTTTTCCCTACCCCCCTGGGAAGTTCCAGCTGTTCGGGTCTGTTCTTTCTCACTCCCTTGCTCGAAAGCCCAACTGCTTACGGTGGCTTCCCGCTCTCTTTTTCTTGATCACTTCCACACTCATTCTCATGCCATCGCTGTGTACACAGATGGCTCTAAGTCTTCAGACGGTGTCGGATTCGCAGCAATGTTTCCGGACAGCGTCGTGCGAGGGCATTTACTATCTTCGGCTAGCATTTTTACTGCTGAATTGTATGTCATTCTTGCAGCACTTATTCATATCGCATCTATGCCTGTGTCATCATTTGTGGTAGTCTCAGACTCCCTTAGTGCTCTACAGGCTGTACAAAAATTTGATACATCTCAGTATCCAGTTCTCCGTATCCAACTTTGGCTACGCTGTATCTCTACCAAGCATAAAGATATTGTTTTTTATTGGGTCCCTGGTCATGTCGACGTACAGGGCAATGAACAGGCAGACACTGCTGCGCGGTCAGCAGTGCATGACCTACCAATTTCCTATAGAGGTGTTCCATTTCTGGACTATTTTGCTGCAATAGCTACCCACCTTCACACCCGTTGGCAACAACGTTGGTCAACTCTGCTCAGTAACAAACTTCATTCTATTAAACCGAGCATAGGTTACTGGCCGTCTTGTCATCAGTGCCAAGGTTGGGAGACCACTCTCTCCCGCCTTCGCATTGGCCACACTCGTCTTACTCATGGGTATCTCATGGAGAGGCACCCTGTTCCTCTCTGTGAGCAGTGTCAAGTTCCAGTATCGATTAGCCACATTCTGTTAGACTGCCCTCTCTATCAACGAGCACGCAGAATTTACCTCCAACGTCGTCTTCGTTCTACTACTACT